GACTGCTGTGTGTATGTATTTTTCCCCTGGACATCCTCCAGGAATATTTTACCACTTTATTTTGCTGCAAGCAAGGCGTTACTATCCATGGGTGTTATCTTTTGGTCTTTGGTAAATTATCCAGGAGTAAAATGGTACCTTGCTAGAATTCTTATGATTATAAGTAAGGATTACAATTTTTCTTATTTTTTATATCATTTACATTTATCTTTTATGAATTGTCTATTCATAGGGCTTGTCCACAGAATTTGTTTTCCATTTGCAAGATATCTTGTGAAGTCAATGATCCTAAGTCTGTGTTAGGTATATTTTGTTCATGTTTTACCACTTTTCTGTAGTGTTAGTGAATTAGAATTGAGATCCTGGAGCCCAAACTGCTTGGATTCAAATATTGGTACTGTCATTTACTAGTTGAGCTTGGTTTCTTAAGTTTTGTGCCTTAGCTTGCTCATCTAATAGTATCTACTTCAAAGGATTACTAGAAGGATCAGATGAGTTGTAAATATATAAATGACTTAGCATGGATCTTGGTGCTTAGTGAATACTGTACTTGAGTATTTCAGTTATTTAATCTGATATATGTCACACAAGAGTCTTACATTTACATACATTTAAATGGATGTTTTCATCCATGGTTTCTTCCTGTGGTTTGTGTTTAAAAACTCTTCACTGAAAGGTGATTTTCTGTCACTCATATCTCTGTTGGTACCTTTATTTAGATAGAAAAATTCCAATCATTAAATCCGTTTAGAAAAAAAAACACAGCATTTCCTATTAAGATTGGAGGTGCTAAATTTGTAATCATCTTGGAAATGACCAAGGATGCCAACTATTGAGTATAATTCTTGATATTTTATCTTGTTAAAGGTTACTAATGAGATTGACAATCACAGTAAGGTATTAAGCCTCTGTGACATCTTCATTGTGTTTCTGTAGAAAACTTTGGAGTAACTAGAAAATTTAGTTGTGGAATTGTAGTGCCTTTTTATTTCAGCTTATTTTTTCATTAGGTATAAATGGTAGAACAGCAGCTATGTGAACCTGGATCATAATCACTTGTGGAAATCTTGAAAAGCATGACTATGCCATCTGGAAGTTGACTTCCTAAAAATGTGGCGTTTTCTGGCCCACCCCTTGAGTCTGGGTTGTCTGGGTTGACCATGTAATTTGCATTGAATGGTAAAATGTGGTGCGTAGACTACAGAGCCTTTGTCTTCTTTGAGACTTGTTCTGGGGCTACAATTCAGTGAAATCTTCAGTGAAAGGCCATGTGGAGAATGGGTTTCAGCCATGCCATCTGTCCCAGCTGAGCCTACCTCTCTGCTGACCTACCAGTACAGTATAGCTGCATGAGCAAGTCTTGCAGAGATTGGCAGAAGAACTGCCCTGCCCATCTGCAGACCTGCGTGAAAGTAAAAAAAAAAAAAAGTGCTGTTGAGTTTTGAAATTATTGGTTTAGAGCAATATATTGAAAGCAAGTCTAAAGAATTTTTATTTCAGTGGGGTATATTTTCAACAGCCTTGTAGAGCAGAGAAGAAATGTGAGGTTTTGATCAAGTTCTTGTTACTTCTAAGTGTCATAAGAATCCATCTACTCTCCCTGTTTTCAAATTTACATCTACCCTACAAAGGCTTAAATAAGACACATAATGTAGATACATGAGGTGCTTATTTCTGTATCAGGTACAAGTCCAAGGACAGATGTAAATAATAGCTTCGGCAAACATTTGTGTTTGTCAGCTACTCAGTGACCCAAGTCAGTGGGTTATCTTTACCTTCTTGAATATGTGGATTCTAAATCTTGGTCCAACATAGTGTTTGTAGTTTTGACTAATCTGAGAAAACACAGAGAGGAAGACTTCTGGAAACATTTTTATCTTAGATCAGCTTACATTTGTTTGGAAGACTTTCTGACACAACCCATCAGCCCAAACTTGGTCAAACAGCTACACCTAGCTGTAAAGGTGACTGTATCAGACCAAACTTGAGGAGGCTTTCTGAAAAGAGAAAATAGATACTTGGGGCTGGGAGGGGGGAGGACAATTAGCAATTTATGTTATACGAACCAAATGGTACCTTTATCGTTCAAATAACATTTAGTCCTTAAACCTCATTGTGGCCACGTAGATTGCCTCTCAGTTGGCCTGCATCCATTCCTCTCTGGATAATAGCACTTGAGTTTTCTTTAGAAAACTGAGCAAGACATTTTTGGTGGGGCCAATATGCTTCCTCCTCACTTCCCTTAACTCCAAGCAAGTGTGTGTGTGTGTGTGTGTGTGTGGTCTTGACCAGTGAAACTCAGAGCTGGGTGTATTTATTGGAAATACTGAGGTGGCTCTTTTTGTCCTAATGAAGCAGTTTTGCGGAGAGGATCAAAGATAGAAAAGAACCTACCAAGAAAAACAAAACTCGAGAACTGAGAAATACAGAAACATGGAAAAAAACCACTGTTTAAACCCCTGTTCAACTAATTCCTGGAGCTAGATTCTCCTTGAATTTTAAGTTACATAATTATAACTTTCCATTTATTTTTATTTTAGACATTTGTGTTAGATTCCTGTCAATTGCAACTTACCATATTCTTTCATTTCCTTTATGTTGCACAGCTTTTCTATGTAGTAGTCTTTGAATTCAAATTCTGTTATCTGAAATTAATACTCTTCAATATAGCCTCATCAACATTTTTATTTATTTTCCAATCTTCATGTCATTGGTAAATAATAATACAGGTTCTAGTATTTGGTTTATAAATCACCAATTGCTAGTGAATTTCTCTTTCTGTGTGTCTAACTTTTCTACTAAATACAAAAATACAGAAAAGAGGATGGGATTTGGGTATTGGAAAGGGCGAATCATGTCTTTAGAGGAATAGCATACAGGTAAATTAAAAAAAAAACACAACAACACAACAACAACAAAAAACCTACTTTGAGCCATCAGCTTACCTTTGTTCCAACTCTCAATTCCAGTGATTAGATGGTAGAATTGGTCCAAAGAGTCAGGGCAAATTGGAAATTGTCAGTAAAAGTGATGCTACCGTTATTGTGAGTAGCATGAATAGGATGTTTAGAGGGAGACCAGTGGCATCCAGCAGAGACCAAGCTATTTGAGTGTCATTAAATTCATTATGTGGCTTTTTGAGTTGCTTTCACTTTTATTCCGTCTCGTAACAGTTGGAAGGTTAAGGCCAGCCATTTTCACATACCTAGATTTTTTTTTTTTGTAATGTACCTTCCAGTACCATAGATGCAAGAAATGCTGTTGGTTCATTACTAACATGTGAAAACAAATCACTGTGAGATACACCATGCCTTACATTATGGTAACTAATGTTGAAGCTCTCACAAAAGACTATTTATAGACATACAGAGCATTATAACAGACTAGGGGAATCCCAGATTAAATCATTCCCTTCCCCTTTTCTATAGTTCGTGGGAATTGAATTTCTTATAAATGTGCATGCAAAATTAATGTTGCCGGGGATAGTAAGGTCAGTTAGGTACATGGTACTTACTTCAGTGTTCTGATAGGAAATCACATAAATTAATTGAAAGTTGTTATTGTTTTGTTCAAAAGGGCAGATAATGGTGAAGTTCACAGGTCATAAAACTACTCCATTCATATTGTTAATTACATGTCTGTTATGAATTGTGGCCATTTCTGGCCATATGAAACACTGTTTGCTTTCAACAACACGTTTGAGTAGGCTAGTGAATAGATAGGGTGACACCCGTAGTTGCTGTTATTTGGCTATGCACCGGTAGAGTTCTCCTGTGGTAATATTTTCAACAGATTTAAAACTTGATCTTCATGAATTATTTTGACCAGTGTGGGTGAATTTCAGCACTGCATGAACATATTACAATCTGATTTTAAAAAGGACGTCGCTCAACATCCCCATAACAGATCTTTTAGCTGACTTTTTGTTATTTTCCCTTGTTACTGTGTCTCGGCAGGAACCATATCGGAGGAAATCAGCACATCAACAGAATGCTGCTGGTGTGCTGGGGCTTTTGTTTGTTCCTGTGTGCCAGTGTAAACACGAGCAGCATTTCACTCACCCCCCCAGTGCTCATTATTTGAAGCCATTTCCACAGCATGGCACCCAACAGTACTAAGGAAAAGTTGAGTCCACTATTACTTGAATGAAACTGAGAATAAAAGAACCCATTCTTAGTGGAAAGAAAATTTGTCCATGCTCAAACGGAAGGAAATCACTACAAATAGGCCATATATATATATATTTTTATTGTTGTTAAACCCAGGCAGACCTATTCATTCGACTACAATGCATGCTCAATCTCTGATTTTTTCTGCTTTTATCTTGATTAATTTTTTTGGATTTCAGATTTACTGTTACTTCTATCAGGATTTTTGGAGTTTAAAAAAATCTCATGATGAAATTTTCAAGCCCTTCAATGTAACGGGAATTCCTTTTTCATTTTAGTTATAAATCATATAGTAGCCCTGAAGTACAATAATGAGAATGAAAAATGGGATTGAAAGAACAACTTTACCCTCCCATTTGACGATGATATGCTTTTTCTAGAATGTCCTTTTTTTGTTGTTGGAAAATAAATTTTGTAGGTCAACTCACATGTAGCAAGTTTATTGTTTTCACTCAGCCAATCAGAATCACAGCAGGTGGGAAATCCTTTGACTTACCCAATCAAAACCTCCAATGTTTGATACCATTATGACCCTTTTAAGAGAAGACTGCCCATGAATTAAATCTGCTAGTGGTTGTGTCTGAGTACTAAGAGCAAAGTTAGATTTGTGTTGAAAACTGCTAGCACCAAAAAATAGTCTCAATAGTAGTTAACTGTGTACTTTTCAGGAAAATAGTAGCTATTATTGCAATGATGATGTTCGCTTTCATGGATAACTTCTGAGATTGATATTCTCACACTATATGCTGTTCAGCTAACTTTGTGCATATACTATGTTTCAGTACTATAATGGGCTGTTAGTATTTATAAAATTGTCTCTTCTCTCAACAGGCTGGCAAGGTAGATATTATTGTTCCCACTTTGTCAAGGAAAAAACCTGAGGCTTGGAAAGATTAAGTAATGCAGCATCATGAGTTGGTAAGTGACAAAACCAGACTTTAATCTGTGTCTACTAAGTGTTAAAACCTATAGTTTCTCCAGCACCAAATTGCCTCTATGAGAAAACAAATCATGCACTATTCCTAAGGAGAAGCTCTTCATTTTGACAGTGACTCAAATACCCACCCAGTGGTAGTTTAGTGGAAAACATTCTAAGGAAGTCCAAAATAAGGTAGAACCATGAACCACTCTGCTATTGGTATTCTGCAGATTTCTCTGCTGATTTCACTCCCATTTTAGAATATTGCATTTAATTGCCTGTCAAATATACGTCTAACTTTCCTGGATGCAAGAGGGTCAGCCAAGTTAGTGTTGTTTTTCTGTTGAGTTTTATGAATGTATCGAATGCATTTTAAGTCTTTTCTCAACAATAGCAGTTTTAATTTCAAGCCTTGTAAGATTGTCTTTTAACCTGATCGTTTCAACATAAAAATTATTTAATTTTATAATTGCATTAGAGATTCCTGAGAAACATCCAAAGTTGGATATTTGGTTCTTTCTATTTGTCTTTTAGGTCAAACAAATACAATTTTCAAATTCCCTAGATTATGTATTGTTTTTTAGTAGAGTATGGTGATAGTTGTTTTTCCAGAAACCAGTACAGTTACATGGACATTATTGTAATTTTTACTTTCCACAGTAGATTGTTATACATTCCATTCCTACTGGCTCTGTCCTTGTTTTCTTATGCCATGTTCTCGAAGAAACGAGTCACTTGTATCTTTCAAAATCTCGGTGGGAAGAAAGAGGCCCTACTAAGATTAGTAAGCCATAACAAAATGTTGATGAGGCCAAAACAATACAATTATGTTAGGACCCAGTGAAGATTTTTTTTACCCACTTAGCAAGAATTATTTGCAATTGCAACATTCACACTACTAATGAACATGACCTTTACCAAAACAAAATTCCTTCAAGGGAAAAAAATCTCATTAGATGTTAGCTTTCTGTACTTGGGATAACAAGTAGTGTACAAGATACTAGCTTGTCTAAACTTGTTTGATGATTTGTTGTTCCACATTAAAAAAATAGAGCACAAGGATTCTCACTTCTTCTCCAGGAAAATTATGTATCTTTTACTGATGAATGTGTCATACACTATCTCCAACTATTCCCAAATGGAATGTTGTTTACTTTGGATGATTTTTTTTAAGCCCTAGGGATTTGGTGTAGACATGTGGTCCTGTTAACTTTCCTGATAATTATTGCACTAGATTATAATGTATTTTTGAAGTATAAAAGTTACTTCCTAAGGATTAAACACCATTTGGACTTTCTAATGGGCAAGTTTTGCTGCTCCTTGTTTGTGGTTGGGGTAAGTTCAGTTTCACTTTTGTACTAATGTCAGTGTGATTTTCAGGTTTCAAGGTATGTTCAGGATTGCGATCTCATTTGATTCTCAAAACAAACTTGTGAGGTAGGTGTCCTTTTTATATACCAAATGAGAAATAAGTGATCATCAACTTTTTTCAAGCTGAAATAAAAGCTCTGACAAATTTTCTCTAGTGTTTTTCCACTTGTAAATCCAGTCAGACAATTCTTTAAGTTATTTTCCAACTGTTTATCTTAAGAGATACTGTTATCATATCTAAGATGGCATAAAATAACTTAATTTTCATTCTGTTGGTGTTTTATTATAGCCCTTCATCTGTTGTCAGGTTCACAGAGGAGTGAGAAAACAGCTGAACCTTTAGAAAATTGATTTTATTCAAAAGGAGTGTGTGTGTGGGGAGGATATAGATACACAGAGAGAGAGACAGACACACACACACACACACAGATTTATATCTTGTATGTATTGATTTATTCTGCAAATGTCCACAGCAGCCAGACCTGGTCATGCGAAAGCTAGGAGTCTAGACCTCAGTTCAGGTAGGTCTCTCAAGTGGGTGGCAGGAATGCAAATACTTCAATGTGAACAGGAAGCTGAAACCACAAGTAGAGCCTGGACTGGATCCCAGGCACTCCATTATGGGATGTGGGTGTTAGACACTGATTTTAAAATATTTGATACATAAATTCTTTGTGACTCTGTAGATCTACTATTGGGATAGAATCAAGAAATCTAGAGTTCAGGATTTTATGCTTGGTGTGGACTTCATGAAACTAATGTCTTAAAATTTGTTCACATAGTAAACATTAGTCCTGAAGAGTTATGTAGAAGTAATTGTGAGTTACAAAAATATTCAATACATACAAAACTCCTCACAAAAGCTAATTTGCACTAACTGAAAATGAATTTATGACAAGGGCATTCATTATTTTAGTAAATAGTTTTCAGCATCCACTGTATGTGTAATACTGGGAAGTTTATAAAGAAGGGTGACTTTGCCATGGACAGCTCATAGTATGGTTATATTTGCCTGCATAAAAATAAAAAAAAATAGCTCTTAAGTGATGCATGTTCCTTATTAATTAATGGCTGATTAGCTGAGCAAAAATTAGCCAGTGATAAGGGTTCCAGAAAAGTACATATTTGTGATAGAAAAAAATCTATACATTTAATGATTTTAACTGTACAGCTCAGTGGTATTAAATTCACTTATGATATTGGTTAACCATTATTATAATCAATTTCTAAACATTTTTATCCTTTAAAACAGACACTGTGTATCCTTTAAATAACAACTTTGCATTTCTCCCCATCCACAGACCTGCTATTCTCCTCTGAATTGACCTGTTCTTGAGAGCTCATGTGAGTGGAACCATAAAATAATTGTCATTTTCTGCTTTAACTGTTTCAGTTGGCATGGTGTTTTAAAGGTTCATGTGTGCTTTCAGAATTTCACTACTGTATGAGACTGAATAAAATTGCACTGCATGAAAAATTTATGATAAATGTGCATTATGAAATATTGAATTTAACTTATTTTACAGCAAAATAAATTTATTTAAAAGTCTATTTTCCATGAGCCTTTAAAAGTCCCCTTGCATGTAACACATTTTGTTTGTTCATTTGTTGAATAAAAATGTAGATGTTGAGATATTCCTTCTCTTTTTTTTATTTTTCGTAATGTGGTTCTGTATGAAGAGAGATCCCCCCATTCCTTCCCATTGTTTTCTTATATCATTGCAACAGTCACAAGCCCAATATTCTGCTATTTAGTGTATCATGACACTGTAGGAATAGACAATAGTAGATAGTCTACAAATTTTTCATGATATGTTTCCGTAGGCACAGGGGTTTTCCCTTCTGCCCCCATTACCTTCCTTCCTTCATTATTTCCCCCATGTTATTACAATAATATAGTCCTTCAGCAACAGTTGCATGTCTACTATTCTGCTATTTAAGTGTGTGCTGACATTGCAGATATAGACAATGGTACAAAGTCCAGGGTCAAGATATATTTAACCGTTTCATTGGGAGTCCATCTTCTATTCAGGAGTAGAGATGCAGACTGCAACCTATCTTTAGTTCTTGGTATGCTAGCCTCCATTGCACATTTCATCTAGATGAACATATGTACATATGTTTATATATATATTTGATGTTTTCTATTTCTTTCTATAATGTGTTGTAGTTTTCATCATAGAGGTCTTTGTTAGGTTAATTCCAAGGTATTTAATATCATACAGTTCATGCATGATACATGGACACACATGTACACACACATTTATTATGTATCTATTTCTGTTTTATGCATGGAGATTGCCTGGTATCAGAACATATGGCAATTGTCCTTATCTTCTGCCTCCTTTTTCCAATGAAATACTGTCTGAAACCACCCTTCTCTGTCTCTTATGGATTGCATGCTGAGCAAGAGTGAATGTGAGGGAGATTTAAGAAGTAGAAATATGGGAATCAAAATTGAATCTGAATTCCAGCTATACAATAGACACATTATTATGAAAGATTGTTTCATGAAATATTTGGGATGTATTTATGTGAAAAAGTTTTTCCTTGTTTTTTGTTTTAAAGATTGATTTATCTTTATTGGAAAGTCAAATCCACAGAACAAAGGAGAGACAGAAAGATCTTCCATCTGCTGGTTCACAAGTGGCCATGATGGCCAAAGTGGAGCTGGCCCGAAGTGGAGCTGATCCGAAGTCTGAAGCCTGAAGCCTGAAGCCAGGAGTCAGTAGCTTCTGCCAGGTCTCCCTCATGGATGCAGGGTCCCAAGCCTTTGGATATCAGGAAACAGGTGGGTAATTTGCTTTAAACAGGGAAGAAGTGCACAAATGTGGAATTTATACCTATCTCTTGAACTAGCTTCTTCAGATACATCAATCAAGTATTGCTGTAGGGATGTTGCACAGCAAATTGCCTAAAAGCTCATTTTTTTTGTTTTTTGTTTTTTTTTTTGCTCACAATTATAGATTAAGTGGCAGAGGGACTATTACTAAAAGCTTGACTTGGTTGGCCTTGACTTACTGTAAGTTAGATGGAGCTTCCACATGTGTCTCATCTTTCTTGGACCATCAGGTTAGTTGAGGTGTGCTCATGGATGCTATAGAATGGAGAGGCAAGCAGAAATCCACAATTTCTTTTAATGTCTGAAGTCTTCACTGACGCACTCTTATCTGTGTTACACAGGCTGCAGTGACTCTTATGGTCAGGACCAGCCTCTTTGATGTGGGAACATTCATAGTGCTTCCAATTTGAGGGATTGTTCAGTAACTATACAAAGTATGTAGATACAGGCACAAGTAAATTTAGAGCCAATGATGCAATCTGCAAAGAGTGAACTACTCTTTACTGCCTCTTCGCTTTTCCTGAATGAAAGAACCAAGACTAGCTCCAATACAGAGGATATGTACCTTTAATACTGCCTGGTTGTTGGTCTCTGGTCTCAGGTCACACACCTCTAAGAACCTAGACCCACTCTGTCATGTCACAGGTTCAACCAAAAGATATATCTCCTTTGAGATGCTGTCTTCCCTTACCTGTTCTTGGCTTGATCGCCTATTCTGACAATCTAATGCAGAGACTTACTGGCATATTTTGTGGAATGAAGGGAACATTTGAGGAAATGAAACTAGGTAAATGGTATGGTGCCGACCTGTGGAAAAATGCATGAAATGTTTTTTTTTTTAGTATGCTAACTAAAGATAATAAAAATAAAACCAAGGAATCTTTCACAGCTTCAAAATAGTGAATATTATTCATTTCATTTTTTGCATATCCCCATAGTTTAAACCTCAAAACAATGTCCTTATGTTCTCTGATCCTTACCCTTGACACCTACAAGTGATTACTTGTCTTAGTTTCTTATATATTCAATATTAAAACAGATAGTTATTTTGTTTTTATTGTATTTCTCATATATAGGCAAGCCCAGTATCTGCACCATCGTTCTTTTTCCATGAATGGTGTATTCTGGGGAACATGCTTGGGGAATGTCCTGATTACAATGCCCCTTGAAAAAAATGCACCATAGTTTAATCAACATAGTCTTGTTGCACACTTGATTTGTTTTCAACTTTTGATATTCTAAATAATGCAGCAAGATAATTTTGTACATTTGTTATTTTTTTCTATGTACATGTATGCTTATGGGATGAATTCTTGGCAATGGGATTCCTAGAGTAGAAGGGAAAATATTTGTATTTTTGATAGATAATGCCAAATTGTTCATAAGTTTTACCGTTTTGTGTATCAACTAGTCATGTATAAATTACCTGCAAAGGTAATTGCCAACAGACAATCTGCTGTCAAGTTTTTGGATTTTTGAGTAAGATTGAGCTCAATATCACATGTTTCAGGGATATCTGTTTTTAGCTGTATTTCAACAGGTCTTTTGTCAATTTTTCTTCTGTATGTTAATCTTAACCAGTTTAACTTGTAGGATTTCTTTAAAAAAGACCTTAGTACTTAGTGGTTTGTTTCAAATTCCCAAATATTACTTTGTCTTTTAACTTTATATGCTTTATTCTATGAAAAGATTATTATTTTGCGGTTTTAAAATTTAGCTTTTTAGAGTTTTAAAATCTGTTAGAAATATTTTTGGAATACCAAGGATGTGGAACCAGAATCAGGGATGGGGAATCCATTGTTTGCAAGGACCATTTGGATATTTATAAACTCATTTGTGGACCATGCAAAATGATTAACTTAAAAACTAACTTGCTGTAGACTTGTTGACTCTGAGCCTATCTGCAGTTGTCTTGATAGGTCTAGACCAAATAACTTCATGGGCCTTACACTCTATATTCCCCGCTCCTGTGTGATTTCAAGACAATTGATTAAACGCTTGATCTTTTTTGAGTTTGTCTTGGTGCATAGTTGAATAGGTTTTACCAGATTGTTAGCAGGAAATTTTGTAGTGCATTTCAAAGTTTCCAAGCTGATACTTTCCTTATGAATAGCATAGGCAGGTTGTACATGGCAGAAGTTTAAAGTGCATGCTGCTGGGACTGTAGACTCAGATGTTGGACTTGAAGCTGTGCTGAGGCACTTGGCAGTTGTGAACTCATTAACTGGGATGATAAGATCCTCAAGGCAGGCTTGATAGCAGAGGCACTGGTGTACTGCATACATGAATTTGCAGCTCAGTCTTCTCTTAATATGAAATTTCATTCTTAAGTATTCTTCTTTGCATTTCTGTAACTTAATTTTCTTCTTTGCACCCTCCTATTTATTCTCTTCCTTTTCTTACTCCTACTTTTTGATTTGTTGTGAATGATATTTAAAAATTTATAGTGACAGTGCTGTTTCTTCAGAGCGTGGTGTAGGTATGTTATAAAAAATCAGCACATCTAGTGGTCTTGTTTGAGTCCAGGCAAAGAATGAATGCATTTGCAATCACTGTCGGTGCACAGAGTAGAAGCTGATGCCAGGGGGACCTGTGTGGTAGCTAAACCACACAGAAGAACTTTTAGAATGTAGGAAGAGCAAGATGAACAATATTGAAGGAGATAACCGATTTTCTCACTACCCCTTGCTGATGGTTTGGGAGGACTATAACTGAAAATAAGAAGTATAACAAATTGCATCTGTGCTTTGTTACATTGTTTTGCTTGATGAGCTGTTGATCCACTGATTGATTCCACCGTGGGGAGCCAGTCTTTGTGTATTTTGTTTTCAAAACTTTATCAAGTTCCCTAGAAATGAAAACTTTTCACTTGTTGAGAGGAATTGAGAGACTGTATAAACTGAAGTTCCTGGGTTTAAGAAATAACAATCACCTTTGTCGAATGCAGCTCAGAAGTCTACAGGAATTCCTCTTTATCCTCAGGCTTTGTGTTCCAAGATTTTGAAACCTTGAATAGTACTGAAACATATGTGTATTTTAATTTTTGTTACACAAATGGGGCACATTGAAAAGTTTATGGAAAGTGGAATTTAAAATCAGTCTATATTGAAACAAAAAATGCTGAAATCCGTGCATGTTTTTCTTAATAATACACATTTCCACAAACTTTTACAAGATCCTCCTAGTCTCACAATTCAATCCATAAATTAGGTAAAGTGATATATTAAGAAAATGAAACAATTGGAACATTTGATTTGTTTATGCTCTCTTGATCCACTCTTCCCTATTACTTTCCTCCTTCCCATGTAGCCCATGATTTTCACTAGATGTGTAAAAATAGTCTATTTCAGAGAGCTAATAGTTGAAACTTTTAACCCTAAGCCATAGTTATCTCATCTATAATTCTTTCTCCTCACTTATTTTATGTGTTCTTTTACTTTTCTGTTCTCCCCTTATTCCTTTATCAGAGATCTCATGATTCCTCTATATGTCTTCTTGTCACAATTAACATTAGAAGCCATAAAGAATACTGTTTTGGGGTGATTAAATCAGCAAAGAAGCATTCAAGATTGATTTACTCATCACTGGGCAGAAAGATGCAGAACTTTCCTAATGTTTCTACTGGTACCACATAAATTCAATTGGGAATAGTTAGACAACCATGGAAATGCATTCTCTTACCGTACTAGCTTCTGGCAAAATTTACGATGTTCAACATCTGTTCTCTGAGTAAATCAAGTTCACTCTTATCTTCAAGTTTATCAATAGAAGGTGGAGGAAAAGTAACAAGCAATTAAAATACTTGGAGCCCCTTGACTTAAGACTAATGAGCCGTCTAGCCTGCACTTTTGTAGCAATTCTTTGCATCTCACTGACTAAAAACTTACCATATGCTTTCAGTATTTGCAACATGGACATACTGATTTTCATTTATTAAAAATGTTAAATAACTACTTTATTTTAGGTACTACTAAATCCCAGAAAGGGAATTTGGTCTACTTTTAAGTGTTTTTATTTTCTATTGACAAGAGTTGTGAATTTCAGACCCCCTAAATAATAATGGAATGAAGAGTGATAGTGAAATCTAAGTCAGTAAATCATAATTTTAATGGGAGTAATTCAACTAATAACAGTAGGTAAAACATTTAGTTTCCACTGTGTTTCAATAAGTGCTTTATAGACATCAAACTTAAATGTGTTCCTGTAAACAATACATTTGTGTCCCTATTTTTATGGACAGGAAATGGAAGCTTAGATAAAATCACAACTGGAACTGAGACGTGCCTAACTTTCTATGCCATCCTCTTTGAAGTATCCAAATTAACTTGTGCAAAATGTAGACAATTAAAACAGTTTTGATGCTACATTTAAATGTTGATACTGTTAAGGGTGAATCTCTGCATGACCTCTTCATAAATTGGGCCCAAAGAAGACCTCCTATGAAGTGCTCTTCAATAGTCCTCTATGGAGACTGAGATCTGGTTAGATCTGAGTGACATGTAAACTTGAACAAGATGAGGAGCAGTATGAGGAAAAGGGTGTTACTTAGGGTTTTTTTTTTTTTTTTGATCTAATGCCTTGGCCTGGCATTAGACTAGGTGTGCATTAAGAGCTGGTTAAAAAAAATAATCATAGATTGTAAAATCAATTTGGTACATGTACAACTTAGCTTATATAAGTATTTTAGAAACATCGTTTCTTTTGTTTGGATGACATGAATATTTACTCATGACAAAGAATTTAAGTTAGAAGCCGGGAAATCAC